ATGCTGCTTTAGCATCGTCTATGTCAGCACCGATTGTTATTGTGTATGTATTTTAAATAAATATTATCTATTTATTTTTCCGTGTGCTTTCATTAGTAATATAATCTTGTTTCTTAAATTTAGCAGGCATTCAGCATATTGATACTAATATATATTCGGCTAGCGTGGTTTCAGCATGTCGACACTAATGTATTACATACGGATTCATCATACAGTAATGCCAACGACTAGTTAATATGTATGGTTGATGTAGTGAGATTCTTAGATATGCATGGAGAAATAAAGACATAACCAATATTCCCTTTAAGTTTTCCTCTTTTTGCGCGGTACATATGCAATGCATTTTTTAAATCGTCATGTATGTTTTATACGCTGACGTCCTGCACCTGTATGAAGCTGTTTGTTTGCGATTGTTTGTTTTATACGTTGCAAGAAAACTATATTACGAAAATCATTTCATGGCAACGCATACTCGCAGGTTAGATGAAACATCCGGTTAAGGGACTTCATCTTCAAGATGACTAAATATCTTATTTAAAGTTTGTAATGTAAGGGATCCAGAAAGGACAGTTTGTAATATTAAACTAAAAAGCGTAAAATGTTATATTATAGTTATTTAACATGCAGGAGTCAAAGGAAATTTCATGCACGTGGCTTCTGTATCGGAATTAACGATATCAGATTGTGTACAGATTAAGTATGTATGTAGGCAATCTGGACACTTCCGACTGAGTAAAAAATATTACAGCCCCTTCCCACACCCAACGGAAAATTAGGAGTTACCAAATTTAATTCCGCAACAAAGCGAGACAGAAATTATTTGCAAAGTTTCTATCATATAATGACGTGCGAACGAATCCAGAAATGGACTGATGCGCAATAATTCTAGCTATATGCATCATCGGATATAAATTGATTACAAAAAATTATTACAGAAGATTATACATATTACAAAAGATTATTACGGATTATTCTGATAACAGAAGCAATTTTATAAACGACCTCCTGCCAAATATGGTATTCCAGTCGTATGGATTGAACACTGATTGCTCAAAATTTGCAGCATGTCCCGAATCCTTTTCGCGCATCGTTTTCGTGTTCGCGCTTATAAAAGCAAAATACTTTACGTACCAAGACAGAGCTTCAAGAATCTCATACATATCAGAAGTTTTGGGCTCGCCAAGTCGAGCTGCATTTCTCAGTTTCTGTGAGAAGGGATTTTATTAGAATATATATATTCAGTTGGATGTGGATCTGAAAGAAAAGAACGAGTATTCCACTTAGAACCATCTATGGCATTAAGATTGGCAAGAGATTTTATCATCTTTCAGTACTGATAAAACAAATAGCATTTCATCGGAAACTTCGAGATGATATGCATACTTCATATAGCAAATTCTACAATTACTCGCATGGATGCCTAATAACGCTCTCGTTTTGTCAAATCCAAACGTTTGTGCATCAAGTGAACCCTGAAGGCTCTGTCTTGAGCTATATCTTTGCTATTCCAAATCTGATGAGCATTGTGGCTATTAAGAAGAACGTGGACTTGACAAGTCACTGCACGTGTGAGATTCTGAACAAAGTGTGATTTTATCACATATGACAGAAATAACCTGAGGTATGATAAAATTCGCCTATAACCATGCTTAAATCAACACGGTGTGATCTGAGAAGATTTATATCTTGATGTATAAATGGTAACTATTGCGCAGCAGTGCATTTTTGGATGGAGATGTAGACATGCACTACCGACTTCTTATTCCAATGGTATGCATTTAGTGAATCGGATATTTGCATAATTCAGTTGCGTGTTGATGTGGTCACCATATAAGGCATTCCAATAACATAAAACTATTATCAGCATTATGTGAGTGGTACCTGTGGATGTAATCATAGATCTGTAATATATCTTAATGTGATTCGATGGATTAACTCAGTGTGTAATATTTACTCTAAAAAGGTTAATATGTTTGTAATAATTACGTTGCCAGTACTATCACCCTGAAATAATTGAATCTAAGATAAAATAAGTTCATATTGCCTACTATTTTTGCTAGATCCAGTCGAGTTCCAGCTATCAGTAATTCTCGGAGAGGTAATGCTTCTAATTCTGTTGGCTTGTGATTGGTTTTAAGCCACATTTAAATTTTACTTGTTGAGGGGAAGTGATTCGTATCTGCTTATATTTAAACTATCCAGCCCCTGATTTTCCAACGAATCGAATAAGAGAAAGCGTGAAACTCGCAGCGGTACGAATTAGATGCGGATGAGAATGGGAGAATTAAAAAGTAGAGAATACATCCAACTTTAAAACTGTATACACATTTTGAGATTTGGCGATAAGATTAAACGAAATTAAATAATAAATAAATAATAGTAATTATTTTATTGGATCAATTATTTTGTTGTCTTATTTTACGGCATAACTCAAACTTTGCGTAGCAATCACCAGTAAACTTTTTTATTGAGCAGCTGAGTGCATCCACGCCGCACACATGTTTTTTTTCTCTTCAGCTTTTCTAATGTAAGTTCATATCTCAGAAGTTTAAATATTCTGATATATATTTTGATTTTTGAAATATGAAATTTTTTTAAAGAAAACACTGATGAATTTCGATTAAGGTTTTGTTAAGATTCTGTTAATTAATCTTACATCTCCAAACTTTAATCTGCTTGAAATTATTCCTAGAATTAGTGGATTCCCACTCCCCCCCCCAGGCGGCGGAAGCATAAAATTCCAACAAATTTTTAATGCACTACTTTTCTGGCGATGTAGCAACAAAATTCTTAGAATAAGAAAACGCTGGCAAAAAACGATCAGTTTTCTCCCCTTTTTTTTAAATTAAAATCTGGAATCGTTTATTACTCATAAACTCTACCGACTGTAAACTGCTAATTTCGTTTCCATTTTTTTTTCCCTTCTGAAGTGTAGATATCCGTATGTACAAAGGCAAGCATAAAAACTAGAATCCGTACCTCTCTGTGGATGTCAAACATAAAAACTAAATTTCTTCATCCTCTTGGGGAACATAAAATTTCGCTTAAACGATTACAAAACAACCATCCGGTAGCCTTTTGTAAATTACAGTTAAAGGACAGAATAAAATTATGGGTGGATCTCCCTTTTTATGCTTTGTTGGTAGACGTATGTAATTTCGAATCCCCCTAATGTGCAGGTGAAATGTTATGCCACGTGGTCCTCCGACAGGTGAGGGTTCCACCTTTTTGCGCCTGTGGCCTTCTGGCTGAGGCGGCATTCCTCAGCTCTCTGCTGGCCTTGACGTCACTTCCTGACTTCTGCCACTGAACCGGTCGTCTATTGGCTACCGACCCGAGATGGCATTTGGGACGTCACAGGTTGCTTGGAGCAGGTTAAAACGTCGCCAAATAGCTTGTTATTTGGCAAGCTATTTGGCGGCATATTTTAAGATGAAAGAGCTCCATCAAAGGTACCGTTGCCAAGGCAACCTTATTTTTGTATGTTCTAGTTTGTGACCACCCTATAAAACATTAGAAATGCTAAGGCTTCAAGTTGCTAATTTTTATGCATTTCTTAAATTTAAGGCAATTTCTTTCATACTTTAGAGCAAGGTAATTTTGAAATGTTAAGGGTAGGGAAAATGCTTTTTTCTGCTTAAAATTTGCAAAGTTTTGGATACACTTAAGCAAAATATATTTTCGTGCCAAAATACTTATTAAAAAGTTTTTTATCATATAAAATTCAGTCGAATCCCTGCATAATGAGGACCAACAGGGGCCGAGCGGTAAAGTAGCACCGGTAGCTCGGTCCGAGGTTCAGATCCCGAAAGCGGGCTGGCTGCATGTCTGTTTCTTGGTTGCCTTTGGTTTCCTCCATGTGTAACGTACACGTTTCCAGTTTCCATGAGCCAGTTTCCTTTAGAAAGTCCTCCACGAAGGCATACCTTGAGGCTTCGCCTGAATCACATAAAACCAATAAAAACCAAACCCTGCATAATGAATTCGGATTGAACAATAATGACTTCTACAATTTTAGAAGAAAAATTAAGTCAAAGAACATCAGTTAATTAGGAATTTATCTTAATTTATTCCGCAAGTATTTGCTGAACTGTCAAGAGTATTTCTGAATTTGGGGGAAAATCTTTCTGCAGAATTTTTTGAAGAATTTAGTATCTTTATATGTGAGCTTTGTTCACATGGGATTGGCTGCGTTTCAAAATTGTGTTGGAAAAGCCATTTTTTGCCCAAAACAATTTGGAACTTTAATACAGAATTCTTTTCAGGTTTCCCGATCCCCACATTACTTGTTTTCGTGAAAGAAAACAGGGTTATGACAACTCACAGAATGATTTTAGTACTCTTTAAAATCTGAGGTTTGAATCTTGTAGCCTTAGGTTGATAATCAGATCATATGTGATGATAATGAAGCAAGCAATGGGTGCGATGTTGACATTTGAATCCAAAACACTACAGATCGGTATTGCAGGCGCTGGTTGTACAACCGAAAATTTCCAGTGAATTGTGAAATAAAATAAGATAGTACAAAGCAATGAAATAAAAAAATCAAAATTAAGAAATTGAAAATTGAAAGTTTTGAAAAAGTGCTAATGTTAACATCAGTTTCCAGTTTGAAGAAGATTTTTCTATGCAAAAGAAATTTAAAACATTCTTCGCGACGTATAATATACAAAATATCTTCTGTAAATCCATGATATTTTAATCTTCATACTGATAATTTCTGCTTTTTTATCGCACATTTATATGCATATTTTAATGCCTCTCTAGTTAGTGAATAATATTTGTTTAGAGAATTTTATCTTTGGTCCTGGCCGCTTCTTTAAATTTGTTTTTGATTGTATTCCTGCATATCTTCATTGATACTAACCCAGCGAGTGAAAACTATATTGATTCTAATAATGTCGCCAAAAGAGAGATACCTTCGCCAGGTGTTGGACACTAGAACGGTGCCGCTGTAACAGGTAAGAAAAGAAAACAATAATAAGTGAAAAGCTGAGAATGGAAAAATCAAAAACTACATCCTTCCGCTGATAAGGAAAACAATGAGTTGGGTGACAGAAAATAATATTACTCGATGTCGCTGTTAGTCGGCTTCGGGTTTAAGAACAAGAAAGGATATTTTGAGAGAGTCTGGATTTGAATAGCAATATTTTAATCGCATTTGTTTTGACGGAATGCTATGGATCATGCATAGTTTGTGTGCCTGCCTGAAAGGTTGGATTACTTCAACAGTGGATGAACCGATACAGAATGGGGAAGAAACACCGGTATGTAATTAATTAATTATAAATTTTTCTGAAAAATTTAACCATGAGATAAATTAATCTCTTTTCAAGTTGATGTCTTGGATAAAAATCTCTGTAATCTTTTGCTGTATCTTTAATTTAGTTTTATTCACGTTTGTATGATCGGTTAAATACATTTCGAACGCTATGCAAAGGTAAGCTAATTGAATTTGTTATTAGACAGTCTTTCTTTGTGTAAGTAATTTTATTCTGGTACAATTCGTCAAAAGAAATCAATTTAGCATATTTAAAAGTCATTGTCATTCGATATAATTTAATCTGCCGACGCTTAACACCATTGCTATTGGAAATATTGGTTTTTAACATTCCTTTCTTATTAATCTAATATCATTTTTCATTCAATTTTTCTCCCTTTCGATACAACTGGCTTCAGTGGCTTTTCAGTATAAGTACCTTTAAAGTTCCGATTGTTAAGTTGACCAATGACTACTGCAACTAAATGAGACTGGCATTGTCTTCAATAACCCCATTTACCAATTTCATGATGATTTGCGGTACCTTTCTTAAAAGAATAGAAATGAAAGGGTTGACTTTTGAAAGGGTTGAAAGATTTCAAAAGACATACAAATATTTAGAAATATTCAAATTTGCAAAGTAAACTTATACATTACTTTGTTTGTCAGCGGCAAATTCTCCAAGCTGTTTGCCAGCAAAATAGAACTACCTAGAAGCAATTAAAAATGAATTAACAATACGATAAATACAATGATATACTTTACTGGTTAATGAATAAAAGTGTTAATTTTCTATATAAAATAAATAATATCAATAAAATAATAATATCTGATTTTATTATACATGTAGCTAGAGAAAATGATGTGTAATTTTTTAAACATATCTAAGCGACAATGTTGTGAAGTTTAAAATGAAATATCGCTTTAACACCTTTGCATGATTAGTGTTATTTATTTTCTTAGAATGGGTTTCTCAAAACGGAAATAAAATTTTATTGAATTTCACACAATATGAAAAATCAATAAATGAATAAAAACTACCAATTAGAAATCTTTGCATTTAAAGTTACCATTTGCCAGTAACTCATCGAATCCGGGTCGAATTACTAGTATTCAGCGGTCTTTATCCACATGGGCACTTCAGAGTCACCAAAGAGTTAGCTCAACTGAAACATTTAATTAGCACTTAGGCTGGTTTTGTTGTAGGAAAAATGTTTAACCATTCTTACATAATTTACTGTGCTGATTTCGATAATGAAGTTTCTTCATCGCCAGTGCTTTTTTCTTGCTTTTCTAGCTTTAATTTTTCTTACAGAATGCAGAAGGCTCGTGTTATGAGCATAGAAAATATTTCCATAACGATATAGGTACAATTTAAACACATCATTAAAGGAAGATGAAACTTTAAAATACCAACCGCCTACTATTGGAATCTAGCGACGACAGAGGTAAATTATTTAGAAAAATTATATTAGAATTTTATTCTGATGTAATTTTTACTAATTATAATGTCTTATAGTATGAAATAACGGTATTTTTATTAAAAAATTTTAATAATTCTAAAACAGTCGTCTAATACAAAAATTTGGTGACTAGTTTTAAAAAAATCAGCCTGAAAAATGCTATAAAGCTCAAATATTAAAGCGTATTGAATTTAATTTATCTTGTTGGTTTCGGAAATATTAAATACGTCAGTGATGTAATCTATTAGATGCAAAAGCGAAGAATAAAACAGCTATTTACATATTTTCCTTTATTCAAGCCCGGTATTACATATTCAGATGTGTATGTAAATTAAAGTTTTAGATTTTTTATAATGTTAAATATGATGGTATAGTTCTTACATTTTTTTGGCATTCACTAATTTTAAGATCGTAAATTGTATAGCTATTTCTTGTATTCAAATATTATGTTTATTATATCCCGGTGCAGTTATGTCTGCAGTTAGTTTGCAAAATACGACCGTGAAAATGTTTTTAAAAACTGGAGAAAAGAAGGGTTTCAATTAAAAAATCACCAAAAAGAGGTGCAGTACTTTTAATTATATAAAATCTAGTATAGCTTTCTCTTTAGTAATGAATGTGAGCGCGATTTGCTGAATGTGAGTTTCCGAAACTTAATATACAGACTTAATTAACTGTATTCTGAAAAAACTTGCAAAATAAATTTTTGAATTATTTTACTTAAACGGCGCACATACTTTCAAGTTCTTAGTTTTAATCATGTATTTTCTGTATCTTTCTTGGTGGTGGTGAGGGGATATTTGAAAGTAGTTCAATGGGATTTTATTATGATTGGCAAACGAAAGATATTACAAGTTTGAATTTTGTTTAACATATTATTTGTATCATAGAGTAAAGTACAAGTATGTCGTACGCAGTTGTATTTCCTCCCTCCCCAATCGTTTAGTTATTAATAACTATAACTAAACATTTAACGTGTTTCATCGTTTTTTATAGCGTATTGTTTGCGGTATATCTGGAATTTTTCTGTATCACAATATTTTCGCATTGCAAGGTTTTCTTTTGTTACTTCCTTTGGGCTTTCTCAAAGTTCTGTCTGTTGTATTATTTTGTGTGTGCTAATGTCTGTCCAATGTGATTTCGTATATTTGTCTCTAATGCTGAAGATTTAAATTATCAGCTAAAGAATTTAATATTCATGCTCTTGCTATTAATTGCCTTGTTTCATTGAAGTTTACGACCGAACGAGCACGTAAATACATTCCTCAGTTGTTAAAAATAAATAGTTCTTTTCCTCTGAATCATATATGTTAACTATTTATTTATATTTCGAAAAAACGCGAAAATTTCTGCCTTTAATAATAGCACATTCTTGTGTGTTTTGAATTTTTATTTTCTATTTTAAAGCTGTTTGTAATTGATCTGTTTATAGTTCATTAACTCCTATGAAAACAAGTGACGTTTATTCTCACATCATTAATTTCCCGTAAAGTTTAAGTCAGCCTGTAAACTGAAGTTTTTTATTTCTAAATAAGGATAAGAAGAATAATCAATCAGATATGACCCGAGCTGACAGATACATTCCTTCATCGTTTGTCTCAGAAGTTTGTATTCGTAGCAGTGTTGAAAACTGCAAATTCTTGGAAATGCGAATTTAGTCTTTTTCTTGCTTGTTGATGGATTCTGTCATGGTAGCGTAAACAACCTTTCTATGTTTCATTTACTGATACATATGAAAATTAAATAACATGTTACATATTCATGAAATTAATGTAAAATAATCACAAGTTTAATTATAAATATACGGAATTGGCAAAATAGATTAAAAACCAGACTAAAGCGAAAGGTGAAGCTTATTATGAAAGAAATATTAAATTCATATTGCACAAATTGACTTTTGTTTAGTTAAACGTACTTTAATTTTATAACGGTCAGTTTAGTACCATTCCTGTTATTTGAACAGTTTAAAGAAACCGTTTCCATACTAAGAATTTCCTGTCTTTCAGAGTGATATTTTTATTTCAGAAATATATATTTACTTATGGTAATTATAGAAGTTGCAGAGCAATTCAAAAGTCCTCTAACACTTGTAGTAAATATTAGTTTTTCTAAAAATTGAAAACTTTTGCAAGTGTTGCTGTTTGGATAAATTTGACCGTCAATGAAATAATTGTATGCATTACGGAACAGAATACCAATCGCTATGAATGGGAGATGGAAAGAAAGAATATTCAGTGTGCCACAAGTCTCACGCAAGAACATATGTTTATTCTGTTTAGAACCTGAAAAATATATGGTACAACAATACCATTTAGAAAATTCGTGATATCCCACTCAGCTATTTGAATAAAGTGGTCAAAAATGAATGTCGCCCTGTGAATTTGCGTATTGAAAAACATGACAGTCATTTCAGCATTTTTCGTAAAAGCATACGTTTTGTTCATTCTTATAATTCTACGAGACTGATATTGTATATCTGAAACAAAATAAAGAGCGGTAACGTTAAGTTATTACTACGTTAAGTTACCTTTTTTAAATTAGAGTAAAAAAAACTTAAATCTCACCGCATTTTTACGTTTGCCTAATTTAACATCGATGTTTTTATCTGAAGCCATATTATTAAGTATTAAGAAGTATAAGTAGTAGCGGAGTATTTAGTAGAAGTAAAGTATTAAGAAGGATAGTTAAAAACACGGCTTTGAAAACAATGAAATTTTAAGATTTTGTATTAGATAAAGTAATCCTATGTAAGAAATATCTTGTAATAAGAGCTCATTTCAAACACGTTTTTCTTCTTCTGTCTCCTCTTTTGTTTTGTTTTGTTTCTGTCCAAAGCGAGATTTGACAATTATCTGTAAGCTGGCGGAAATCGCAAATTACATACTAGTCCTACTAACCTTCTTAGTTCTAGTGTGAAGTGTGAGAAACGGATAATAGTAATAATAATAGTATTTTCTTTAAAATTAATAGGGATTCATGCAAGAATCGGCAAAGCTGATAAGCTTTTCGACGCAAATGCAGCTTAATAAAATTATGACACTTTATGTGTCTCTGAAGGTAAAAAGTCAAGTAAAACTGTGTCTTGTTTGTCAAAGTGACTACCTTATCATAACTGCGGTTGATCTTTACAATATGGTAACTGGTAGTTTGGCGACATTTTGGAGGCGATAAAGGTTACTACCTGGCACTTTGGTAATAATGTGAACAGTACTCAGTTCCGATTACGCATTATTTTGTGTGAGGGAAATGAGAGATCATGGGATATGTCATGTGATATTAATGGACGAATTACGGTTCTTTAATCGGAAAAGGGGGGAAATCGGGAAAAAATCTGGAAATTTTGTATTTGGCTTTATTCTGTGTTGTGTGAAACAGTGTTCGTGAATTTTTGGATCCCATGGCCGTAACTAAAGTGAATTCGAAATGGGTATTTATGTATGTATTAATTTAATGTATGTGCTCATTTTAAGTAGTGTTTTTGAATTTAATTATATTTTAATTAAATGATAGTTATTTTGTGAATTTTATGTTTGTAGGAATTTGG